GGAGTGGTGCGTGTTTGTGATGGCACGCAAGTAATCGTGGAGGGAAATGTTGATGTACAAGCCACCAACAATCAAACGTGCCGTGTTGAAAAGGTCATGGTCCTGCTTGGCCACAGCCTTGGCCCTGTCTTCGGGGCTGGCGTCGGCAGGGCACTGAAGAGTGAAGCGTCCGTTTTCATTGATCTTGAGCAAAATATCGCAGACGTAGTTGTGGAAACGGTTGTAGAGGACCAGCATGGCGTTGACGCCGGCAGGCTGTCCGAGAAGACGTCTTTCGTGGAAAGTATCGGGCTTGAGCATACCCTCCTTCATAGTACGGATCTCCAACTGATCCTTGAGCGAGGATCCGTAAAGAGGGGCGAGATCGAGATATGACGACGTGTCGGACTTGTTCATGTCCGTCCGATTGGTCCGGAAGATGTCGTGGATGATGATGGACGCATGGTAGAAGAGCATGGACGATATTCCGGCAGGATTCTCCTTGAAGGTGCCATCTTCACGAGCCATCAAGAGATCAAATAGGAGACCCGGGTCCGGCTTTACACCATGGAGTCTCTTGCTGGTCCTGACTGTCTTGGCGTAGGGAGTGCCGGCTTTGCCCAGATTGGGCTCAAGAATGTTGTTGTAGCTTCCATCCGGCATCCTGTAGTGGTGGAGTCCATCAGGTGGGCGAGGCACCTGCTCACGTAGAATCACGTCGCTATCAGGGGCCTTGAACTCGATCGAGTCCTCAGTCTGCTGCTTATCCTTCGATGCTGTCTCCTTGGGGTTGACGACCTCGTACTTGACATCACCACCGACATAGCTCAGTGGCGGATGCTGGAGGGTGCCCCAGAGCGTATCAATGAGCTTGTTGGTAAGCTGGACCCTGGTGTTCGATGTGGAAGGGAGGGATGTCAAAATCCCGATCAAGATCTCCGTTGTTCTGGCTGAAGTTAGTTTATTATAGATGCACAGATATGGCACGATCGTGCACTTACCCCTTCTTGTCATCAAGAGGCTGGCCTTTTTGGAGCAGCTCCTTGATGAGGCCAGCGAGCTCTGCTGGAGATGTCTGGCTACGCAAGCCAGCATAGTCTTTCAGTAGATCTGTAGCGACCTTTGTCGGGTCAGAAAAGAAACTGGCAGAGCTCTTCCTCTCATCTCCATAGGTCTCCCCAGCCATGAACTTCTGATCGAAAGACATGACTTTTCATAGGCGGTCAAACTTCGGGTATGTCAAAACTGTAGAGGGTAGAACTGGGATGAATCTGCCTCTCTCATTCTCATTCTCTTGCAAGCTTGCCTGATATGTTGCCCACCTTATTATACAAGAGACAGTCAATCATCTGATGATGCTCTTCCAGACCATCTCAAAGGACAACCACGACATGTACCCTCGTTTCCTGTTTTTTTTTTTTTTTTCGGGAAACCCCTCACTTCATGATCTGCATGCCGATGGCGTTTAATGCCGCAGACGATCGTGGCATCAGCCTACCTGTGCATAGGAGGCTTTTCGATGCATCACCATTGTGTTTGTGACAAGTTAAGAGTGTAACTTTGTAAACCCTGCGGCGAAAATTGTTACCCAAAGCGATTGGGAGCACGACGGCAATACCGGTAGACATGCCGGTGTGTTGATGTTCCAGCCAAGTATGGTTCACTTGCCGCGCTGGCCAGAGACACACAGATGGCGGTGTCTCACAGTAGGGGGATGCGGACGAAAAAGGCATCATATCATGTCGGAGGTCATGCTGCTCTACTAAGATATGTAGCCAAGGCTGTCTTCCATAGGTTCTTATGTAACACTGTATCAAGAAGCCGTTATGCTTGCTGCCACACAAACTGGCAGTTAGTGATCAAGAGGATGCTACGATCATTATCAAATGTCCTCGGCCAATTGAACTTCGCCATGTCAGTCAATGACCGGAAGGCGAGGAAAAGAAATTCCTAGCTGAAGCCAGGGAGACTAGGTAACTGGTTGACTGGTCGATTCATGCAACCTAACGAGGTAGCGCGAAAATCACCTCGTTCCCGAACGGGCCGCACCGTCTGTCTGCAGGAAGGGATATCTAGGTATTTGATTGGTATTCGGGTCGTCCGACTAAGCTAGTGGATCCTTGTAGTTGTCATGAACTGGCATGTTACACTGGGGTGTATCCAAGACATTTCATGTGCGTGAACCTATCCTGCACTTCAGCGTGAGACATTGTATGTCTTCCCCGCAGACTTATGAGCTGAGGCTAAGCATGTGTGTCTGAGGTCAAATGTCTTTTTGCAATCGTTCAATTACGGCAACCCTAGCTGATCGTCCTTGGCTATACTCAAAATGTAGATTCAAGGCGTTGCGGCTGAGAGTGACTCGAAAGACATGTCGGAAACGGGACAAGTGAATACTCACCGCAAGTGTCCGCTACCTGGTCGGTGGCAATGTATATGTAGCATCCGACTTACCGAGTGAATACGAGAGATTCGGTTTATCTTGGCGACAAACCTAAACCAGTGGAATGTTGCGAGCGGTCTGATATCCATTCTGAACCGCCCGTTGGCCGACGCAACAGGTCGGTGTGATTCTCCGAACATAAGTATTCTCGCTTAGCGTATGATAATACATGCAATTGAGAGTTAGCCAAGGTACAAGCGATATGCGTCGGTGACCTGCATAAATGGAGCGACAATACACAACCTGGATTACGACATACGGGTGCAGCTGTACCGCAGGGTAACGATTGGAGGCTTGACACAGCTGTCTCCCTCGGCTTGCGGCTCCAGAACCAAGCTGGGCATGATTTACATTCTCAATTCATATGTCTCAGTCGTGGAATAAGTAAAGGTTTTGCCGTTACCCGATCGCCGGGCTCACTGATCTATGTGTACGGAAGTCCGCCAGATAATACATCATACGAAATCCTACATATATCAAGTTTTCTGGTCTTCCTTTGAGGCGAAACAAGCGGCTGATACGACAGCCCATCCACGGCTTCATCCCTTAGTCTCAGTTTTCTCACACGTTCTCAAGATTGTTATAATACTCACTCTACACGATGCCTGCTGCCCTGAGCAATGGTGATCCAAGGACGGAACAGAGTTCTGCTCCTAAAAAGCTGGTTCTCTGCTTCGATGGAACAGGAAACACGTTCACAGGCTCCAATTCCGACACTAATGTGGTGAAGATACTGAGCAAGTTAGACCGCAATGATCCGAACCAGTATCACTACTACCAAAGTAAGCGTCCCCAGGAGAGAGGAACTGCTCGACGAGTCACTGTTAACATGACATCTCTCATCAGCTGGAATCGGCACATATGACATCAACGATGAGTCTGTCAACAAAAGCTGGTTGGGCGAGATGCGAAGCTCCGTCTCCCAGACCATTGACCAGGGGATTGGCACGACATTCGACGCTCATGTTCTTGCCGGGTATCGGTTCCTCATGCGTTACTATGATTCTGTAAGTGTATTCACTGTTATTATCGCAACAAGTGACAGCCACTAAAGGACCAATCTCTAGGGTGACAAGATCTACATGTTCGGGTTCAGTCGCGGCGCCTTTACAGCCAAGTTTCTGGCGCGCATGATTCATACCGTGGGTCTTCTCTGCAAAGGCAACGAAGAGATGGTTCCCTTCGCCTACCGTCTCTATCAGCGCTACTTGGCAGGCGAGGTCGAAGACTTCATTGTTGCCCACCCCAAGAAGTCTAAGAAACGTAAGAGTGAAAATCCGGATGATACATCCCATGACAACGACCCAGCCTCAGGCGTGGAAGACGACGAGCACCCTCTCCATGACGACCATGCAGAGGGCGAAGACCCGGTAGCCCACGGTCACAAATACGAAGTGGCTCGGGATGAGATTGCGGCGTTTAGTGACACGTTCTGCCGCAAGGAGAAGACAATGCACTGTGGGCGGATGGAAGAGTCCAACATCAAGGTCTTTTTCCTCGGCATCTGGGATTGCGTCAACTCCGTCGCCGTTTTGGAGCGAACCACCCCGGTCCCGGTCCCTGTTGTAGGTACGGCAAACCATGTCCGGCATGCCGTTGCCGTCGACGAGCGCCGCGTCAAGTTCAAGGCGGCACTCCTCGCCCAGGACATGCGCGACACTGACCACACCCACGAGGACATCAAGGAGGTTTGGTTCCCCGGCTGCCACGGAGACGTCGGCGGTGGTTGGCCCGCTTCCGACGACAACCCCCTTGACACCAGGAGCGAAAACATGACCTTCTGGGAGCGCGTCAAGAACTTCTGGGTGAGCCGCAAGACCAAGGGGGCGAGCAAAGCGTTGGGACACGACCGTTTGCAGATGAGCGACATCCCGCTGGCTTGGATGATTCGCGAAGTCGAGCTCGTCGGTAAGCAAGAGCCGTCAGCGGCTCTGAAATGGCGCGAAAGCCTCCACGTATTCAAGGACCGCTTCAAGAAACACAAGAAGCAAGCGCTCAGGGGCGTCATCCACGATTCTCTTGCGTTTGGCTGCGGCACCGCTTTCTTCAGGGTACTTCTATGGAAGTTCATGGGTAAGGAATTCCCCGCTGCATCACGTCCCTCCCGTCGTTCAATACTAACTCGAACCCAACAGAATGGCTTCCTTTCATCACCCGTTGGGAGCTCGAGGATAGTGGGTGGCAGAACGTCCGATTCCCGCTTAATGGTGGAAACACTCGTGACATCCCCCCAGACGCAGTCCTTCACGAGTCCCTGCTCTGGCGCTTGAAGAACGATAAAACATATTGTCCTGGGAACAATCACGGCGGTCGGCTCCCACCCTGCTTGAAACACAAGGATGCAGTTGCCGAATGCAAACCTGCAGTAGACCACGAGGCAGACGGGATTTCTGACCATAAGACGTTCAAGATCCACAGGTCTGCGTCTGATCTTGTGCCACAGGGCAACGGGTCAACTGTATCATGATCAATCAGTGAAGGACAGGGCTGCTGGGTGGGTAGACAGAAGCCTAGTTGTGTACAGAACATGTAGTTGCCCTTGGAGTATGGTCCAAACTTTGCTTTCTCACCTCGAAGTTGTGTTCTATCATTGCGTCGTCAAGCTGGGAATATCTTGTGGATCGTTCAGTCAATCTGCGCCATAGACATGGCTTACCAGCCGCACACCCACGCAACGGACGACGTCTATGCTGAGGCCCTTCGCAACATCTACGGTTTAAAGAGCTGGTATGAGACGGCTGGCCACGGAAGATGTGATACCGAGTCTTGCTCCGAGGACCTCCACATCTGATATCTATCCCTGGTCCGTAGGTAAGCCATCGTAGCGCGACACCTATCTTGAGGCCCGCATGGCGCCACCTTTTAGTTTCGAAGACTCATCCGTTCCAAACATGGCTGGAACTCCAGATGTCGTGTTGCCAATCGGCGATGTCTCATACAACAGCACAAAGTCTCTGCACACGGAGTATCTTCCCGTGGCGATGACTTTGCGAATGGCGCGGGGCTGTGACTCTCATCTCGCGAATCTGGTTAGGGATTTGGAAGCGAAAGGCCTCCTTCGTCAGGTAGCCACAGGTCCTCGATTATATCCATGGACAAAGGATATCTTGATGCCTCTCAAACTACACGGCCCATTTATGAACAGCGGACAAATTGAGACTGAGAAAGAAGAATTCGTGTACCCCGCACGATGCATGCATGGGTGGGCAGTTCTGACGTCGATCAACACGCGGCATCCGTCAAAGCACAACCGAGGTTCAAAGGACTAACGGGTGCACCAGCGATAGGACACCGGTCATCTTATTGTTAAACAATAAATAGAATACTGTAAGCTCCAACGGTCTCGTGGCTTATCTTCTCGTCTCCATCCCGAAGTGCCACTCGCCCGCAGCAAATCGAACGCTTCAGTTTGTGCTACATCGCAATGCCGTTCTATCAGATCTACCACACATACCCTCTATCTCAAACCCAGCGACAGTCCATTGCCCTTTCCATCACCAACCTTCATTGCAGTGCTTTCAACACGCCGGCGTTCTTCGTGCATGTGAGCTTCAGTGACCAGAGCTCGAAACCCGATGATGGGACATACTTCATGGCTGGAAAGCCGCACTCCACCAACTCCAACCGCATAATTGCGGCGGTGCGGACGTCGGCGTCCCGAACAAAGGCGGACTTCGATAACCTCGCAGCCAGCATCGAAGAAGCGTGGGACAGCGCTCTAGAGGAACCCGGCGCCGGAAACACCAAAGGGTACAAGGAACCTGACGAGTCCAAAAGATTGCTTATGGTTATGTTTACGCCGATGTTGGCCATCAGGGAAGGTGGAATGGTCATTCCAGAAGCCGGTCACGAAGATGACTGGCTAACACAGCAGCTGCCTTATATCAAGACCATGGCCGAAAAGCACAATGTAGATGACTTTAGGGAGTTGCTGAAGGAGGTGGAACAAAGACAGAGCATTTGATACGTAGGTAGTCAAGGCAATATCCCTCTCGAGATCGCGCAAGTACACAGCATGGCGTGTGGTGTACACACACAGGAGGGACAGCCACCCTCCAGTTGGACACCCGTCGCAAACACGAGACTAGGAGCGGTTACCGCTTATCCAGACCCCTGTTCTCTGCTGCAAAGATCGTGACCCTCCATGCTTGTGACAAGAAAGCCTTCCTTTTGTATCTGGAAACAAGTGAAGAAGGGGAGGGAAGCCGGGGAGATGAATTCTGGCGACGAAGCTCAGTCGGAACAACGAGACCGAGGGTGAATATCTGAGTTGAGAAATGCATCGGCGGAGGCTTTCTTGTCGAGATGCAGGGCAAGATCAACCTTTGCTACTTGGCTAGCATCGATAACTCGCGAGGGGACTTTCTTGGGTCATGTTGATGACACCCAGTCCATCGCTTTGCCGAGTTGCTCTTTGCTCATCTACTTGTCGTTGTGCATCAGTCCTCCCGCCATCTGACAGCCCAATCCCCCTTGGCATAGCTCGGCTCGACAACCTTCCCCTGCATCACGGCCTCGCATTTCCTCCGTTCGTCCTTGCCGTCCACGAGGAACCCGAAGACGACGCCGCGCCGCGCGGCGCACCGCACCATCTCCCGCTCGTGCGCCCTCCTCTGCCCCTCGGCGCGCTTCTCGCGCATTTCGTCCGTCTCCTCGGTCCGCTCGGCGCGCCCTTTCTCCCCGCCCACGCTGCCGTTCACCTGGCTCTGCGTTTGCGGCGGCCTGACGCGCGTGCCGCTGCGCACCGAGAGGCCGGCCTGCACGCTGGGGTCCATCTCCGCGGACCTCGTGCGGCCCAGCCCGAGCATCTCGTCGATGACCTCCTCGCCCGGGTCCTGGCCGTCGTGCTTGTCGCCGGGCGATTTCCCGCGAACGTCGGTTGCCTCGTCGTCCGAGTCCGAGTTGGCGTTGCCTCGGATGACCCTCGAGGCGCGGTTCTTCCTCCGCCCGTAGACCTTGTCCGGATCCTGCCTGTCGCCAAAGACCCTGCTCTCGACCAGGTCGCACGGCACGAGGGTGCGGGCGTCGCCCTTGACCTTCTTGGTCTTGGTCCCGTCGACCTCCTCCTCGCCCTGCAGGAAGCGCACAAAGGCGCGCTCGATTTCCTTGTCTAGGCGACCGGGCTTCTGGCCGCGGCAGCGGGAGGAACAGTACTTGGCTTCGGGCTTCGCCTCGGCTGTCTTGGAGGCTTTGGACGCCGCCGTGGACCTGCGGCTCGAGATGACGCGGCCGCACGTACGACAGTAGGGCGTCGCGTCGCCGTTGGGTAGGAGGTAGAACGGCGCCGGCGTGGCCTGGGACTTGGAGGGCCGCGACCAAGAGTCCATCCAGCTCATCGTGGTGGTGTGAAGGGGTGTTGTCTGCGGGAGAAGACGCAGGTGGAGGCGGATCGGGTGCGTGACGAGGATCTTTCGAGCGGTCCGGCCGAGTACTCTGATGCGATGGAGAGCAAGCGGTCGGTATAGCATCTGGAGAAGGCCGGCAATGCAATGGGATGGGATTTAGTGAGGCGTCATGTTGTGTGCAGAAACAAAGGGAGAGGGTTCCGAGGTTGAAGGTTGTCGATCAGTTGGGGACGAGCTACGTCATCGATGTCATGTCTTGGATGCCATATTGCTGATATGTCTGTGCCAGATATCGACAAGCCCACAGAGCGCCTTGATCTCTGGAACGCAGCTCTTTTGACGCCGATCAGGCTTGATGGGGCTTTAAGAGCAAACAGAGTTGACAGTCTCACCAGTTGGGATTCCTCACTCGAGTGTTGGTCTCGATAGGGCCGGCCGCCTTCTTCAAGACGTGGTCAGAACTTTATTGGGACGGTTGCCGGCGAGCGATCGTGTCTGGCCGTTATTTAAGTTTAGTCATAAAGTCGACGATTTTGTATTTCTAAGGTGTTTTCAATCACAGCACACGCCCAAGCGGGTTTCAGCGTCCTCTCTACTCTAAACAGGTGTCTGGTCTTTGCTCTACGCTCTACAGGAAGCTGGTCGCCAAGGTGATGGCGGTTGTATACACCATGCCCACGAGGCCGAGGGCCATGAGGGCGATGTCGCAAGCCTTTTGTTCCCTCGTCTCGGCGATGCCCTTGTAATGCAGATACGGCGGGTAAATGTAGACCAGGGGCACGCAGGCGAAGGAACCGATGAGGGCGACGAAGCGGTCCAGGTTGGCGGAGCCGGCGACGGAGATGGCGATGCAGAGGGTGACGAGGAGGGTGCGGAAGGCGTTCTTCTTCCACTTGGTCAGGAGGTCCTTCTTGCCGGAGCGGTGGCCAAAGATCTTGCCCTCGAGGATGCGCATGGCCGGGAACAGCTGGACGGGGTTGCCGACGAGGACGGCGAGGGCGTACATGAACTGGACGGCATTGACGAGGCGGCTTTCCTGGGGGTAGTTGTCGATGATCTCGATCTTTGTGCGGTCGCCAAAGGTGGCGTAGCAGAGGGCGCCGACGGAGGTGAAGACGCAGGTGATGAGCAGCATGACGGCCGCCAGCAGGGGCTCGAAGTGCTCGGGCTTCTTCATGCTCGCCTGGATGGGGATGATGAGGCCGATGCCCTCGAAGGTGAAGATGGAGGCGCCGATGGTGAGGGTGTAGGAGCTCGGGTTGAAGAGGCGGACGGTCGGGTCGATGCCGCGGGCGGCGAGGGCCGAGATGTCGTACCACCAGATGTAGGCGACGCCGACGACGATGAAGACGTCGGCGAGCAGGGCGGCCGGGCCGAGCTTGGAGATGTTGCGGATGAAGGCGAGGGGCACGATGACGACGGCCTGCAGGGCGATGAGGGCGGTCGAGCCGAGCGGGTTGGCGCCGCCGGTGACGGCCTGCAGGAAGGAGAACCAGTTGTCGGCGACGAAGACGAGGCCGGTGCAGACGAAGCCGATCTGGGACAGGGCGATGGAGGCGAGGATGAGGGCGCGCATGCGCGGGCCCGAGATCTCCTTGCCGAGGTCGCCGTAGCCGCCGCCGTACCGGGCGCGGCACTGCAGCAGGAGGTGGAAGGCGGCCATGGAGACGGCGGCCACGAAGAGCATGGTCAGCGAGGAGAAGAGGATGCCGCCGTTCTTGAAGGCCTTGGGGAGGAACATGATGCCGGTGCCGATGAAGGCCTTGAGGGTCGTGAAGAAGGTCTTTGTCGTCGAGGCGTCGCCGGCCTTGCGCGCGAACCGGGAGGACCGCCGCCGTCCGAGGAGGGGGCGGGTCTCGCCCGCCGGACCTCTATCGCCGCCGCCGCCGCCGCCGCCGCCGCCGCGCCGACGCGACTCGTCGGCGTCCTCCTCGTCGTCGTCCGTCTCGATGGCCTCCTCGTCCGAGTCTGCCAGGTCCTCGCCGGCGAAGGAGCCGTAGAAGTCGAGGAACTCGACAAAGTTCCTCGTGATGGGCAGGTTCGCGGCGGTGAAGCCTTGCTTCTGCATGATGAACTGGCGGCGAAACCCCTGGGGCATGAGCATCTCGGAGGCGGGTATGTCGGACTCGTGGCCGGAGTCGGCACGGCGCGGGTGGGAGAAGGTCTGGGCTCGCTTGACGCCCTGCTCGCGGGCCGAGATCTTGAAGAGGTCGCGGTGGATGTCGCCGCCGGGGAGGAGGAGGGACGAGGCCTCCCGCTCCTCGGCAGCGGCGGCGGCGGCGGCGGCGGCGGCGGCGGCAGCGTCGGCATCGTCGTGACCGTTCCCGTTGGCGGCGGGATTCGACGTCGGGTTGGAGTTGGAGTTTTGTCGGGTCAGGTCGGCGTTGGAGGCGGTCCGCACGCCATCGAAGGAGGTGCCGTAGCCTGCCGGCAGGTGGTTCGCGATGACGGCAGTGCGAAGACGCTCGTCCGAGGACGAGGGTGTTGTGTCGGACATGGTGGGCGTGAGGTTCGAGGCCGTTATGCTCTGGTGGTGTGACGTCGTGTGGAGGAAGAGTCTAAGGCGGTGGCGTTTGGGGTTGGAGGAGGGTTTTGGAGACTCGGAGACTAGAACAACAACAGCAACAACAACAAGAACAATAACAAAAACAACAACAGCAAAAACGACGACGACGAAGCCAGCCCGAAATGGAACGAAGAGAACGAGCTGCAGGACTTGCTGGAAAGTACCAATTGGGTCGAGAATACAGATGGTTGATGAAGAGGCGAGATGGAGGAGAGAGGTTGAGATGGGAGGCGAAACAGAAAGAAACTACAGATGCCTCGGCTAATAGCGGTCTTGCAGACTCTTTTACCAAGGTGCAATCGCAACTATGGGTATAGGATCGTGAGATGGGGGCAAATGCACACAACGTATCAGAAATAGGGAAACCTGAAAAGCTTCAACGGTATTTTTTCACAGGTCGGAGTCGAGTGCGTGTCCGTGGGGCATGACTTCACGAAGCTCGAGCCGCTTGCAGTCCCCCCGCTGCGGACTCATGCATGGGACGGGAACAAGATAGGGCAATACTTGCGTGGACGGGGTGGTGGCGGTCGAGTCCGCGTAGCAGATTCTGAGGAGCACCGCAAAACTCAAAGGCCGTGAACAAGTCACGATCTATCGCGGGGGTGGGGGGGGTACGGGACCATGGGAAGAAGCCGGTGAGCCAACGGGAGAAGAGAAAAGAGAAGCGAGAACATCCTCTCCCCCCCCCCCCCTCCCCTACCCCCCTACCCAAAGGCGGCCAAGGACACACCAGAGACAAGAAATGCAGAGACAAGGATGCCGCAGCAAGACAGGAGCTAGACCCAACCGGGTCTACCGCAGGAGCGAGCTGTTTGGGTTGGCTGGACTCTGCTTTGCGGTGCCTGAGTGCATAGTGCCCTACGTCAGTCCGCAGAGCAAGCGGGGTGAGTTGTTGAGCCGGTGGAGAGACTTGTGCAGGCTCGTGCCGCTGGTGCATAAGACGGACAGACGGACGAACCAGGTTTCGGGACGGCGGTAGAGAACATGGTCTACTATGTATCCGTAGGGTGAAGGGGAAAGGAAGAATGCTGAGGTAACGGATAACGAACAACAAACAGCCCGACCCTACTTGCAGATTTTGCTGGTGGATGGATGGCGGTGAGGTGAGGAGGCTTAGGCTGAGCTTGCCGGGGTCCAGTAGAAACCTTGATTCAAGCACTCGGTCCATAATATTATGTATCCATGATACTACACTATGCAGCATTGGCATACTCCTAAGTGTATAAGGAGTGCCGTGTACGTGGCTTATGCTGGCTTATGCATTGTCCCCGGGCTTGGGTAAGACAACGGGCAAGACATTAGATCACGGTACATACACCCTTTCTTTTGTAGGGTGTCTCTCTGGTTTGTCGCCGATTGGCCCGACTCGTCATCCTGGGGATATGTCGTAGACAAACCGTCCCTCTCCCCAGTTGTCACGGCTCTTCTAGGCTCTGCAAAGGTTTCGCCATCCCTCTCAATGGCGTAAAGTCGGCGGGACGCGCTTCTTCGCAACAAATTCTCTCGCGAAGCGGAGCCGCTGCATGACGCCACCGGACCGGGGGACCCTGAAAACTCGGATCGTGCAGAGGAACGAGGTTCGGAATGGAAGGGGAAAAGTCGAACAAGCATACAAGCATGCGAAGCAAGCTCGTCGGAACCTCTCCGACAGCTATCACGAACAAGCGGTCACTCACCGTGTCGTGATTGTCCGGCCAACCGAGAGACCCGGCGGCTGAGAGCGGCTTTCACGATGGAGCAAGCATCACGGCCCCCTTTTTGCTCTCGACTCTCGTTCGTCAATGCGCAACTTTACATGACCGTTCAGAGTATCCGAGAGCCGAGCCCATCCATTCCAGCCCCAGTTCCGGCTCCGCTCCTCCTGATGAGACAGAACAAGACACGGTCGCGGTCTAACGCTGCCGAGACACGACTCCGCTGTCTTTCGCTGGAATGCGTCTTGTCTCACGGGCAAAAGGCCTTGCCGTATCGGCTCGCACTCTGTTCCTTTTAGTGTACGGCATGTCTGTGTCTGGAGCAGCCCGAGTGTCAGTCACTCCCTGCCGATGACCGCTTGCGGCACTATGTTGCGTCCCCGTCCTCGGCATACCGTACCGCCGGTATAGTCAGCCCGCCAACATGCACCCGCGAGCGGCGTTAGGAGAGGAGAAGAAGCGACTCGCAGCTTCGTGACATGCTTCCCTTCATGCATCGAATGTCAAGTTCTGGGCGTCCAGGTCAAGTCGTCCTGACTGAAAACAGATTCGCGCTCTTTTGCCTGCCGTTGCATTCCTCTCGCCCACAGACAGCCCCGGAAACCTTGCTGTCCCACGTCTCGGCACCTCCGTCACTCTGCGTCGTCATCTACTGGCACTGCGAGTACCCTTCGGTCATCGTCAGCCGCGATGTCCGCGTCATTGTGGATGCGTCTTCACTTACAATCGTTGACCTTGTTGCACTTGAACGGGTCCACGCACTGTTCGACAAGTCAGCATCCGTAGCTCCCGACAATCGCTCGACACTGGATGGCAACTCACCGTCGCCGGTCCCGTCCACCCGATTCCGCCGCACTGTCCCCACTGCGGTGCCGTCCCCGATCCGGCGGCTGCCGAGGTCGTCGTCGCTCCCGCCGCCGTCGTCGTGCTCGCCGCCGCCGCCAGCGTTGTGGATGCGCGGCTCGTTGTCGCCGCGGAGGAGGGGCTCACCGGCGTCTGCCATCACGGTCAGGTTTTCTCTCTCCGACCACAGAACAAACCCCTTCCTCGGGCCGTCTTACCAGGAACCCGAACCACTTGAGATCCTCTTCGGCGAAAACGTCAATCGAATGCGTTACGCCATTGCCCAAGAACGTCTATGAACGCCACCAGTCAGCGGCGTGCCTCCTCCTGGCCTCTCGCTCGCCCGGACCTCGAACCTTACCTCCAACTTGTCCCCGAACACGTACTTGGTGTACGGGCTGCGGGGGTAGTTGGGCGTCTCGGACGCCGGCGTCGTCGAGTAGCCGAACAGGCCCGTCCACTGCTTGATCGTCTCGTAGTAGTTTTGCACGTAGAGCGTCGTGTCCAGCGAACCGTGGTAGATTTGCATCTTGGGCCTCGGCCCCGTGTATCCGGGGTACATTGCCTTCGCGACGTCGGCCCACTGCTGCTGCGTCAAGATGGTCTGGCCCAACGAGCACGTCCCGTTCCAGTAGTCGGGGCTTTCGTCCGCCGACATGAAGCACCCGGCCGGGACCCCCGCGTAGGCGATGCCCGCGGCGAAGACGTCGGGGTACGTCGCCGCGAGGACGTTCTGTTCGCCTCCGTCAACGGCACGGATCTCTCACAAAAGAAGAAAAAAAGAAGAAAAAAAGAAGAAAAAAAGAAGAAAGAAAGAAAAGAAAAAAAAAAGAAAAGCAAAAAAAAAGAAGAAAAAAAAGAGGGAAAAAAAAAGAAGAAGAAGAAAAAATGAAGAAAAAGTGAAGAAAAAATGAAGAAAAAATGACAGAGAAGCTTCACAGCGTTCTGGACATACCGTCATCATCGCGCCGGACGAGGTGCCCGTCGCAAAGACCCGGCCCTCGTCGGCGCCGTACTGCGCGATCACGAAGCTCACCATGTTCGCCATCGAGGTGCTCACGCCGCCGCCCCCGTGCGTCAGCGTCTTCTTGCTCGACACGTCCCAGCAGTTGCTGCGCAGGTACGGCGTCTGCGGGTAGATGACGATGTAGCCGTACTTCTCCGCGTTGCTCGCCCAGTGGGTGCCCTGGTAGTAGGCCTGCGCGCTGCCGCTGCACCAGTGGAGGCCGACCACGACGGCGGGCTTCGCGGCCAGGTTCCGCGGCACGTAGAGCCACATGCCCGTGCCTGTCGGGTTGGAGCCGTAGTCCCTCACCTCGGTGAAGGTTGCGCGGGGCACCACCTCGGCGCCTAAGACGGGCGTCAGGAGGGCGGCGAGGGCATGCAGAGCGAGGACCAGGAGGCACTTCATCTTGCTGTCGATCGTGAGTGGGAGGGCTGATGGAGCAGTGCTTTGGATGCTGGCTTGTTCTTGACTGTATGTGTGTATCTATATACCGTCGCCCGCGGAGGCGGCTTGCTAATTGCCATGCGCGTATTTGATGGAACCCGTTGAACGTCTCCCACAGCCGACGCGGATGACAAGCCTCCGTTCCAATGTCAGAGATCGTATCGCGTCGATCCGGGCATCGTCCCGACACATCGCGGCCGAACCCGTACTGTGTTTCCCATGTCCTCGCGTCCTCGTTGGAGGGATTCCATGCTTCCCGCCTCTTGCTCCTGGGCGCTATCATTGTATCGTCTATTTCTCATGAGCGCGGCGTCCGCCTCGAGTTGGTTCGGGCGATGCGGGGTGCCCGCCCGTTATAGGAGGCGGGCCTTGGTCGAAGGTGGAAGCCTTCTAGGGCGCCATCGGCGTAGCCGACCGGCCGTCCTGGGGGGGGGCGCGTGTCACATCCTTTCGTGGAGCAACTGCTGATCTAGATTGACTCCTAGCTCGTATGTCTTGGTATCTTGGCATCTTGGCCTGCCAGCGCTGCTGAACTCACTTACAGGGGCGGACGAGCCCATCTCCGCGATTGGGAGAAAGAAACCCCGCCTTGGGACTTGAGTGAGGGGTGCTATTCCGGCGAGGGGTGTTATTCCGCCAATCACCTACTCAGAGAGATTCACGTCCGAATCTCCGTAATGACATGGTCGACTCCGTGACTTGACAAGGTCACATTCAGAGTAGCACTATTGACGCGTATTACCAAGAACAGGTTAGTAAGGCACAGGAATCCTTGAGGCTACATTCACTCTCAGGGGCATATGTTACCTTGGGGCACTTCTTAATTGGAGTTCTGCTCAGCCTCATTTAGTACGTCTGCCATCTGCAGAGGTTGCCAATGTTTCCTTGGTCTCCGTATCATGTTGCCGAGGCTCGGAGCATAATAACAATTTTGCACTTAATCT